CAATACATCGTATTTTACTGAAGAAAAACGGAGGGAGAAGTGAGTCGAGCCCTCTATTGTGGGTCAAGCGGTGTCTTTTTTATGCCACACCGATGTTCCGGTAATAAATCGATGGCGCATAGCTACAAGACAAGAGATGTTTTCTTCGCTCGTAGATGATATGATCGGATTCAAATTAAAAAATTAATCGATAGGAAGTCAATGTCAGATTTAAATTAGATCGCGAAGTCACAAACATCAGTGCCGAAAAATTGGAAAATTAATCAATTTTATGTGTTTTACTAAAGCAAAAACATTTTTGACCCATAAATGATTATGTTTTGTAAATTTCCCCAACTGATTTTTGATCATTTTGATGACTTCACCCTATTTGACTACATCCATTAGCGCCTAATATAATGAATTGTTTAATAATCATACGAAACTCTCCCCGTCCAAACTACTCGTCAGCCTCGCTTGACAAAGCAGTAAAAATCATCAAAGTATATTTTCTGAAAAAAACTCACTTCTGTCATCTGTAATGGAGACTGAGCAGCAACTGCGGCCTTGGAAGTTGTGTGGGGTCTATCTTTGCTTTTTTCATCGGCTGACTTTCCATCATCTACAAGTGGCAGTGATTTGAGGTGAACATGACTTACTCGAGATTTAAGGTAATTTATTCGATTACTGCGCCATCTTTGCATTTCGGCATCAGCAGGACCCGATTTTTCCAAATTTATGTGATTCTGGCAGCAATTCGAAGTCGCTGCCGGGTTTTTATCTCGCTCTCCACGTTTACTCATTATGTGTCGTTTCGACTTCATTTGCTTCCGTTTCCCACCTCAGAAATGTTAGATCAACTGCACTGAAAGTGATATCCGAGTGGAGAAGTCCGTTCTAAACCATGCTCGTTACCGAGCACTGTCATCTTATTACACGTAGTAATAGGCGTTCCGGAAAACATTTCAATTCAACGAATTTTACACTGATGAAACGGTGAATGCTTAGTATCTAACAATTAGCGGAACACACTGTCCATTAGTAATCGGAATAGTTTGTAACGAAAAACGAGGAGTTTTTTTACCATCAAATTTCGTACTTTTCCCGAAACCCTCCGCAAGCCAATTTTCTCTTCCGCTCTTGAAAAAGTCTTAGAACGTGGCACTATTCGGGTAGAACTGAATCACACACATTTTCAACTCGACAATCCTACCAGAAATGCTTCCGTCAGGATGTTTAGATAGTTTCAAAATAAAAGAAATAAACTTTTCTCCAGAAAAACATTTAGAAAAAATGATAATACTTAGAATAAATGAGATTTTGTTTTAATTCTCTTTTGCTCGACACGAATTTGCAAACAGTTCTTGGAAAAAAATAGATGAAGCACAATGCGCAACTGGCGCAGATAGTTAGAAGAGACCTGTGCTTTAATCGAGCACATCACCTGGATGACAGAGAAACAGAGAAAAATAAAACGAAAATTAATTTTAAACATTTTCTATTGCATGTTCCAGTAACGGATTTCGAAATTGGAAAGGAATTTGATTGGTTTAATGGTTGGTAATAATTTGATTTAGCACGGAATTTTCAAGGTTCTACGTTGGTATGGATAGAGCATGAGATGCATGCTTTAATGAGCTGACTTCTCATAGCAGTGTACACTACTTCGAATTCTCCATCTCACGACCTCAAACTACCTATCACATTTCCTTCTAACTGATCCTGCTACTTCTTTGTCACATCGGTGAATGTTTGCTGCACTCCTCTTCATCGTTCCAGATATTGCTTGCATCGCACCACCTCATTTACCGTCGCTTTTACTCGTCTAGAAGTTACTCTGTACTGCGGACCGCTAACCTTGCTAACCCACTTATAACTTTCTACTTCTCTTCTTCATTTTAGCAGTTATTGATCAACAAGACTGTTCCTCACTTCCATTTCCATTCTCTTATCTTACTTACCTACCTGTCACGTCTGTTCTTGTCTGTGGCTGTACTTCCACCTTGTCTACGAAGCGTAAGCTAGCCACTCATTTCCTTCCCACGTGTTCGTGCAACACGGGAACCAATGATCACGTCATTGTGCATAATAAAACTAGAAATTGATTTGAAAAGCGAGATGACAATGTCCGTTCGAACGGGTCCGGCAGACAGAAACCATTTCTCCTTCCAACGACTGACGGACAGACACTCACACATGAGAACACGATCCGAACCTCACGCGTATTTGCTTCATCGACTGACCGACCGACCGACCGATCGAGACACGCACATACGCGTGCAGACAGATATTAGTGGTAGGGAGAGGAGGTGGGGCGATAGAGCTGTGACTGGCTGAGTGACGATGAGGGAACACGGTTTCGAGGAGAGTCAGAGCAGTGATCAATAACACGGTGCTCCAGTGGCCTGATATCGCGGTAGAGATTGAGCGCAGGGTTATAGATCAGGAGAGCGAGATGTGGGACAAGAAGGCTCGGGATCCTTCCTCCTGGATAGCGGGTTCTCAGCTTATCGTCTCCTGTGCACAATTATCACTGGCCTTGGGACAGCTCCTGTCCATCGCAATTAAGGTCACGCTTTGTGGAAAGACTGCAGCCCTCGTAATATCTGCGAGATGCGATTCGAAGTGTGCCACGTGGTCAGAGGTACCCTTGCAGAGCACTCATATCGGGGAGTCTGCTCACTGAGGAAATCTACAAAGAAACAGACACGGACGGCTGCAGCCTGGCCTAGCAAACTGATTATCATCCTTCTCAGCATCAGACCTGAAGGATTGGCAGCTCAAGAATTCTTGAAACTGTCATCTTCGCACTTTGCTTGTGGATGCCACTATTATATATGCATGTGTGCTTTTGCGCTCCAAAAGATACAGGAACAGTAATTGCGTGGAATGTGTCGTGGTGTGGCAGTGGTCGAACGCTGATAGATGAAGTGGAAGCAGTAGACTTTGTCTTTTCCTCACCTGGTGGGTGGTTAAGAGAGGAAGACAAGAGTGGACGAAGAGTCGGTCATTGTCGTCCTACATAAGCTGACTCCCGCATTCTACGTACTGTCCATCCGATGACTCGGTGATTGAAATAAAAGAATTGAATAATAATGAAGTGAAATGGGAAGGATCGCTTTCATCAGAAACCCAGTTAGCGTGAAGATGGAACGGACAATGAATTCTATCATTTCCATCCTTTTCTTGACGACCTCACCCATGTAGACGGCACTTACTGATATCATTTCTTTTGTTCGGCTTTTCTGATCTGATCGCTTGTGCATTCCAAAAACAGCAAAATGAAAAAGCTGCCGCAAGTGAGAAGAAAATAAAAATCACATTAGACTGTTAGATTGGTGACATTGTCATCGAGAAGTGACTGCGAAATGGCGATTGATCGGAAGAAGCAATAAATGCTAGAAGAACGGGAATTGGCTAAGTTGTTCAACTATTTTGCTGCTATAAACTTATTCCAATGCTAACAAAAAGAGCAACTGACCAGTTATATGGCTCTTCTGACGGTATACAACTTGCATTGATTGCTTCGACGAGACAGACTTATAAAATCTTTGAATTGATTGCACGCTCGAGAAAAAAAGATTAGAGGAAGCCGAAGATTCCGTCGATATCATGTGACAAGTAAGAGTTTGTGCATTTATTCATTCCCTCAGTGTCCTCTAGCCTGTCAACAGTTCCGAACACTTACTGCTGCAAGTCTTCCGGTCCGAGCCACGAATAAGCAAGTGATAACAAGACTTGCTATCACCGTTGGAGCTTCCTTGGACGAAATGAAATAGGTCAGGCAGTTGAAGTCATCCAGTTCTCAATTTCCTCAAGTCGAATGTTTTTTGATATAGCACGAAATGTTGTAAGCAAATTATTTTGCTGGGTGATAGTGAATGAATGCATATGATGAGGAAATTAGTCAGTGAAGCGATTCAGTGTGATACTGTGATGGTTAGGGCTAGTCAACTGATACTATCTATCTTCTGTACAAATTACTTGTCAAGAATACACTATGCATTGATATGCCATAAAATCTGTTTGTACTCTGGTATATCTCTTTTGGGACATTTCGAAATATTGACAA